ATTAAATTATAATAAAAAAATTGAATTAAAAATTACACAAAAAATAGGAATTTTAAATAGTTAATTTGATATTAATATCGATATATTTTTGTCAAATTTTTGTGATATCTTCAAATTTATATTTTATTCAAAAATAAAAAAATTATCATTTTTTCAAAATCACATAAGTCCATAATATAACATCGACTGAGATAAAGAATAAAATGAAACATTAAAATCAAGATGTATTTCGCTGCATTGCGCGATTACTCTTCTAGTTAACCAATAAAAAAACTCAATTTTAAGCTTTGATATGTTACTATAGCATCTCAAATTTTCGATGACGATGCCTAATGATAATGTTAATTGGTGCCTCGATATCCTGTGATTTTTCGGACAGTCGACCGACACGCAACTTATTCATTTGTGGCCACGTAAAACGTGTTCAGAAACCAACCATTTTATCATTTCTATCTCCAAATACACGCACTCACCATAGTTCTGATTCTACTCCTTCAAGAGCATCGTAATCTTTATCTTTCACTAGTGGATTTATCTCGGTGGCCTCTCCAACCCGTGGTTTTCGTCTGATTTGGGTTTCCACACAAATGACAAAAATCTCGGTATGTCGTCTAAATCTATCTATTTAGTTTCCGTTGGATGCATATTTAGTTGGTGAATCATCATATTTGGGATTAAGTTAGCATTATCTGCTTTTGATTTTACAACAGATAACACAATAGGAATTATAGTGGTAACACGTTTAAACTAGAGGTAGCATGTGCCACCACTACGTAACTAGTAGATTCGCCCCTCATCAGTTAATTTCAACGTGAAATTGCCCCCGACTTATTCACTCAGCTCAATCCAACTTAGGGGCTGTTTGACAATTACTGAATGGTTTAGTACAGAATGATTAAGAGACTCTCATGATATAATGCAAAATAAAATATAATTGTTGTGTAACTGTTCACAATGAAATTAGGGCTCTTAATGATTAAGGGGATCCATGATACAAAATCATTCAGATGGTTTTAGAACCATTAAGAGACAATCTTTTTTTTTTTGCCAAACAAGATTCACCACTTTAACAATTCAGATGTTGCCTCTTAATGGAACTATTAAGAGATAAACAAACAACCTCTTAGTTAAAACTCATTCAGACAATAACGTCAAGATACGAGAACTACCCTGCGTAACGAAAACTTACGATTCACCCGTTTGTATAAAAACGTAGCATATATTCGCTAGTAAGATACACCAACGACAAGAACACGATTCGTGATCAGAAACTGAGAATTAGCATCCGTATCTTGATTTAACATAAATTAACCGTAGAAGGAACAAATTCTATCTCGAATAAATAGCAAAGTGCCACAGTTTAGGGAATCTAATGCTTTCCAAGCAAAGGACTTTACTTCTCTTCCAAGGAAATGGCTTTTTACTTGTATTCTACGTTTACCATTATAAAACACACACACACACACCCCACATAACATGTACAGACCCATAACCAAAACCAGCAAAATTAGTGTTTAATTACTAGAAACTGATGTCTTTGATGAATCCATCCATGGAGGACTTACCACCGGATGTCATGGCAGATATTCTCACAAGACTTCCGGTGAAGACGATCATATACAGCACCTGCGTATGCAAAAAGTGGCGGAATTTAGTTTCGAGCTCTTACTTTGTTAATCTTCACCTCTCCAGATCACCTCCAAGCCTCATCGTTAGTCGTCTCTCGAGAGGAGATCTCGCCAATTCGCGTAAAGCAGGAATCTTGAAGTGGGTGGAAATCGAAGATGAACTTGATCGCCACCATTTACACCACGATCCAGTCATGACCCTTGATCTTAATCTTTCATCCACTCTAAGAAAATCTAAAGTATTACTAATGGGGTCGGTGAATGGTTTGATCTGCCTATCGCAGCCTAAAGGTGGTAACACTTGCATATGCAATCCAATCACCAGAGAATACATGATCCTCTCTAGGAATCGAGATAAAAGAGAAGATTATTCGACGTTCGTTTGTGGTTTTGGAGTTGTATGTATGACAGGGGAGTACAAAGTGATGAGGACTTTTGAAGATTCTAACTCATCATCTCGGCCGAGACAATTACAAGCCGAGGTTTACACCCTTGGCACTGGCCGCTGGAGAAACATCGGCCATGTCCCTTACTGGTTCGATCATTCCGACCAACCGTTTCTGAACGGCCATATTCATTGGCGTATTTACGATGAGGATTCCCCTGAAAGTCTTTGTGCTTTTGATTTAGACAAGGAAACATTTCGATTATTTCCATCTCCTCCTTCCGAAAGTATAGAAGAAAGTTACATGCATTTCCAAAGTTTGGCGGTCCTAAAGGGTTGTTTATGTAAATCTGATACCTATGATTCTCGATACACGATTTGGGTGATGACGGAATATGGGATCAAGAAATCTTGGCGTAAAGAGCTGGTGGTTAAGCTAGGAATCATCCCTGATCTAGATTGGCTGATATGGGAGCCTATGTTTCTGATTGAGGGTTTGAAAGATGGAAGTATTTTGATGGTTTGTCGTGAAGAAAGATTGTTGGTATATTGTCCTCAGAGTAAAACAATCGAACACACGGAAATGTTCGAACCCTACTTCAGTGGACTGCCGTATCGTCCTAGCTTTCTTAAACTCCGAGACTTCGCATCAGAGAGAGTTCGTATGTTCTAAAGATCATCAACATTCTACCATTTTTGTATCATCCTTTAATTTCTGTGTTTTCTGTTAAACTTAAGTAATCTAGACTTGGATTTAGTGGTGGTTAAAGTCAAACAGTTATGACAGTTACTATTTACATTAACCGTCACCTTTGAAGGGTTGTGACGGTTCATGTTGTGTATATATATATATATATATATAGAGGTGGAGGTTCAAACGAGAACCCCTGTGATTTACGAAAACGCGAGAACAACTTAATAACCACAAACTTTTTTAATTAATAAATTAACTTTTATTATATATAAATAATTTAAAAAGGGCAGTATTGTAATTAAGTAATTTTTATAATTTTTATTTTATTTTAATTAACTATGTTTATCTTCACGTTTCCACGTCTTCTTCTCCTTCATTCATGCTTCTCCTTCATTCAAGCGTATTTTTTTTCTCGTTCAACATAATCTTCATGTGATAGTGATATCACATGATTATCACACCCATATCACACCAAATCGGTAGTCGATTTTTTAAGTTAACCCTAGCCGAACGGAATCCTTGTGATAATTGTGTGATAATCACATGATTATCACACTCATATCACACCAAATCGTGTGGATATAAGCGATAGTGTGATAATTGTGTGATAATCAC